AGAATTTGTCATTGAATTATTACAATATCTCTATTCTGATCTATTATTCTTCTTCTGATCTTTAGAATGGATCGGGAATCAGCCAAAACCTGGCTATTGTATGTCATGCCACTCTTTACTAAACAAGAATGTTTTAGTAATATACACGTATATATATACAAATGATTTCTGCACATTTCACCTTCCGTTCCATATTCGTTTACTAAAATAAATACAAAAAGCTCAGTACATCTACCTAGCAACGTCAAATTCAGGTATTGATCTAACAAAGATAACTTTCACAAATAAGTTCGTAATGAGAAAAGTTTGAATCGATATTTGTATTGTGATGTGAACGTTTATAAACTAATTATTACTAGAACCTCATTATAAACGTATTAGGAACAATCGAATTGACGGGATCAGGTAGAAAAATCTAGAAATTTCACATAATGAGATTTAAAATGAATTCTAATTGTTACCAGTTTGAATCTATTTTTGTCCATATTTCAATTTGATTATCATCACAACTTCAACGTTTATACATGGTTTACAAATATTATGAGATCAATATGGAATTTTATTCTATTTTTGGCATTAATAGAAGATACGGAAGCAATGTCGCCTATGTTATACAGAATAACTTGGCGCAGTACAGAAAGATGTACCAACCCTGATCCGCCGTATCAGCACAATCCATTGATTTCTTTGGTGGTGGAACCCTATACTAAAAATGGAGTGGTATACTTCAGAGGTAATTTGACGGTCAAAGAAAACTTGAAGGGATATTTTTGGAAGATAAGTGCCGCCATTGAGAAGCCTGACCACACCATAAAGTCTTTAAATAATTTCAAAAAGTTGACATGCAAGAGTGTAATACCGAGGCTGACTTTGATAACAAGTAATGTCAAATACAATGAAAGGACCTGTGAGTATTACAAGGGTACATATTATTTCCAAAAAGTGGACTTCACGAAGCTCGATGCCGGTGCTCACTACTTCCCAATTAAAGAGATCGGAGAGACTCTCATATTTTTCAGTTTCTACAAAAATACTGGCACAGCTTTCTGTTTCAAATCGCGTTACTATGTGAAAAATAGTTAAGTCAATAAATCATATTGTTCTATCGCTATCTCATATTCAGAATACAGCTTAATTCTTCTTTTAAAAATATGTATTAATAAAATACAAATATCTTTATTACTCATCTCTTTTAGGTGTTTTATTTTACTCCAATATAATATTCTGCTTTCATTGCAGCGAAAACCTTTTTCATTGCCGTACTTCAATGTGTACCTACAATATTGTTTTATAAAAAGAATAATTTCAATTATTTTTTGTCAATGTGTAATAGGTATTATTATACCTTATACTTATTTTTACTTTAATAGAGCACATAACGTCAGTTTAAACTCATTACCAATAATATCATCTTAATACACCACAAGGAAAAAAGGTAGCAATTAGAACTACATTAAATTAAACTGTCCAATAGGAATAAAAGCTTTCTAGATTTAATAGCCTGTTCAAATTTTCTACCCAAAAAACAAAGTTAGTTTAAATAGTTCTAGCATGGGCTGCAACAATATTGAAAATAATTACTCTGATTGATAATCCAATATCCACTCATCGACAGCCAATAAACTGATCCCTACAGCCACATATAAGTCGCGGATAACCTAACGGGTTACCGGGGCTCCGGCTCGACCTGCAGGAGAAGGAACGGGGTAGTTTTTAGTCAGTAAGAGTCTGACAATCATTCGATGATTTTCCCCCTTAAAAAAAAGCCACATATAAAATGAATAGAAATGAAGATGAAATAAAACAAAAGAAAATAATTTTATACAAAAAGTTTAATATCTAAAACTAAAATATTTACAGAAGTAAAATAATATCAATCTAGTTTTGTACAACAAAATCTTCTTTCAAGAAGATGTATAATATTTTGTTTTGTATACCTACTTCAAAGGCCTATTAACTAAGGTTTTTAATACTTTTTAATCGGATTCCTCCTTGTGTACTGAAGGTTCTTGTACAACAATTACTTGTTTGTTGGCCCTCCTACGGGCATGAGGTCCTAGGCGGATTTTTGTTGGTTCTCCTGATACTTCTGATGTAACCTGTGAATTTAAAAAGTAAATTCATCTACATAATCATGTTAGAGGTAGGCACTGTACAATATAACACCCACTTTTCACTATTATGTTAAGAATCACATGTAGGATGAGCCTCCACACTGCCGCGCATAGGTACATTTCCGGACTCCGTGCTACTACTGAGAATTTTTAAAAACCTAGTATTATATTGCCCGACCCGGGTATCGAATCCGAGACCTCTTGTCCGGGAGTCGCACTTGAGACTACACGGCCAACGAGGCAAATAGGCAGGGTATATCTACATTTGCCATATAAATTATATTATTGTTAATATGGGACTCAGGTAAATAAATTTTAATACCAAAATGAAGGTACACCTGTTTTGAAATCGTAAATACATACATATGTTCAATCTCATAAAACCTTTGTTTTTTGTAAGCGAACAAACCCTTTTTTACAATATTGAAATCTAAAAAAAAACATTTTCATTTCCGTTCGTATTTCAAAAACTTTTTATGTTTGTGAATCATCGCCTTTGGCAGAATAGCCCATTCAATAGACAGGATTTTTACATTTTAGTTTTTTATAACATAAATTTTTAACAAGTCTTTCGTGCAATGCAACCTTGAAATATAATAAAATATTTGAAACTTAATGAAATGAGAAAAAATATCAGTAAATTCTATACACACCTGGACTCTCTTCCTTCCTGCGACATTGTTCTCTAAAAATTTGTTTACTGCCGAAAGGGTGTTAATTGGTATCTAAAATATTGTAAAATAACATTACAATCACAAAATTTGAACTATTTAGTAAATCAAATAATAAAGTGCACATTTATTTACAAAGCTTTACTCACCAAAAAACCCAAAATAATATCTTCTCAACCTTTGCAACATACAAAATACCAAAACTCACCTCACCTTCCTGATACCTTTACAAAGCTACATACAAATATACTAAGGACCTGTTTCACAAGTTACCATTAGCTTAACTGACACATTTTGATGTATTTTACATTTTTGAAGAACACCAAATGGAAATTAAATAATACATAAAGGCCGTATGGCATTCTTTACCAACCTCATGGTCAGAACTCAGCGAAAATAGGTACGGAAAATATTATACTGTCAGTTATTAACAAAAAATTAAACAGACAGTGTGAAATAAGTCCTTAGTGATGTAGTAGGTGCAACAAATCTGATACTCGACAATAAAACATAATAAAAACTCAAAAATGATAGCAAAATACTAATGAAAATAATGGAAGTAGGTTAAAGCAGAATCGTTGATGGATTTCAACAAATACATTGTGTGTGATGTGTATGCTGAATTTATCTACTGAACTAGGCGCCATTTAGTATTGGTAAATAATAGTCACACTCACAAATTAAAAGTGAAAAAGCAGCATGCATGTTATAGCGTATCACCCAGTAAATCTCAAAATCAAAACTCTTGGTAGCGATTAGTGTAGCTCATTCAAAACTTAAGAGATTGTTTAAAAATACTTTGAAAATAATGAAATTCTTTATTTACAAATCTCATCGCTTTAAAGTATTATTTCCATCAATCACAACCCACAACCATAGTAATTTTAAGAATTAAAGGAGATTATAATGATAATATTACGTAGAATGAGTATTAACAAATCGATTAAAAACGTATTCAAAAAGTTTCAAACAAACATGCAGCATCATGCAAATAAATTACATAAAATAACAATACTAATGAAAATACTGATCATGTTATAAAAATATTAATTACGATGAGTGATCGTGCACTTACAGCGAAAATGTCATCTATGAATTTAGAAGCATTCGGTGTCTGTACCGATATATGAGCTTCAGAACTAGCTGACGATGATGATGATGGAGACACATGCTTCGAAGTTATCGCATCTGAGTCTGTAGGAAATGAAAAAGTTTATAAGAAATTAGTCACAAAAAGGATCAATCAGTTTTCATACAGAAAGATGAATTGTCATGCGATAATGAACTTTAACAAAATGTGAATGTACGAAAAAGATTGTTGATGTTGCTTAAAATAAAATTCCGAAAGTTTATAAGGTAATTTATAGACACTAGGTGAATCTGAATATCTATAGGAACAGGCAATTTTATTTGTAATAAATGTCTCCATGTATCTTTTTAATCACTTTACATTGCCAATAATTTACAAAGCCAAACAAAAGTGTCATAATATAGCTGTAGATAAAAAAGGTGTACTCATAATTCAGCCTATAAACTATTAAAACTAGTAGATTGTACTTCCGTATTAAAAAAATATTACCTAAATTTAAAGAGACAAAAAAAATAGATCACAAAAACCAAATTAGCAAGGGAAGTACCATAGCTGCCCAAATAAATCCCCAATTTTATGTTCCTTAAAATTAAAATAAACAAACCCAAATATTTTACGAGTTAACGCAGCTGTTATTTTGTATAAATTTATCTATTATTTTAATAAGTCCAACGAAGGCGTCGGCTCCAGAAGGGGGTGCTCGTAAAAAATAAAAACGTAATAAAAGCTAGAAGATAAAAATATCATGAAGATTACGAGGGTAGAGGAAAGGCCAAGATTATAGTGCGCCGTTCCCTGCAAGTCGCTAACAGGGCTTATTACAATTTGTAAGAGCGACATAAAATATCACCATGATTTACCCTAAGCATAAGATAATCTGATGAAACGCTGCGTTGTTGCGTAGTCCTACAAACCATAAATAAAAAAGTACATTAGCAAAATGGTAAATGATCTCTAAATGTTTCTCAAAATGATATAAATAAGATATTAAATTTTGATGAATCGCACTTGTTATTTCAATTATACAAAATAATATTTATTATTCATCTTACAAATAATTTATAACCCGCACTACCTAATTGTATTTGTATAAAACTTATGAACTATATAGCAACAAACTATGTTTTAATAATAACTGGAGTAACCAGAATGGCCTGAATATCCAGCATTTCCGGAGAAACCCGAGTAACCACCTGCTTTGAACGTGGCTGACTTTTGTACTGACACACCGGTATTTTCTGCAGTATTAGTTAAAAATCCACTAACTGCCTTTAACGTCGAAATGGGAATCTGAAACACACAATAATAAATGAATTTCTCTCTACCTGTACCTCAGAAGCAAAAAAAATATAGTGAATAAAGATTTTTAGTAGAAGGGACACAAGTTCTGAATAAAATTATGTCAGATTCTTATCGCTTGTAAAATAAATCTCAGCTAGATTTATCGCGACTGCTCAAAGCTCAAATTTCTACCGGCGTCCTACATTGAATTATTCATTGTCTGTTTGTGCCAAAATTATATAGTTCCCTGCAATATTTCCTTTTTTATATTTTCATTTGTTTACGCTACTCTGTCACACTATTTAAAAAATTAAACCGAAATCTGATATTTTTTTTCAATATACTATAGCCATATTGAATTTAAACAGCTAAAATGTAAAACTCACATTGAAAATGTCCTGGAAGAAAGTACTAGGTTTTGCATTGACAACCACTTCTTTATGGACTGTTGCAACTTTGGGTGATTGGTAGTATCCTCCATTATAGCCAGCTCCTGCTTCTCCATGAGCTTCAGCATGTGCTTCAACGTCCACTCTCTTTTCAATAGGCTGGACAGTTTTGTAGACTGTTTTGGTTTCTGGCGCTGCAACTTCACCACCAGCACCAACGAATCCACCAACATAGACTGCTTTGTGCACGTGGTGCCTGTGTGGCTTGTGTTTGCGTACATACACTACTTCTGTTGGTTCTACGTGGACCTTTTTAAATAGGAATAGTATTATAGTTCATATACGTGGTAAAGATAAAAGAATGTCAGAAATAATAATTTTGCAAGAGAATTAGAATCTATTAGTGTACATCAAAGTAAATTGAAATTGCGAACTATAGACTCATTAGCTGAAAATGCGGACATGTCTTGTTTCTTTGCTGTAAAAAATATTAACTGATTGATTTCAATGAAGCCATTTTAAACGTCACTGTTACCTAAACATAAAACATTTAATAGGTTAGCAAAATATTGTGTAAAAGAAATAATGCACTTGTAGAGAAGTGCCAAATGTGCTATTATGGACATAGTGCTAAAAATCTGCAGCTGTCTTGAAGCCTCTGGGTGCACGTACCATTTTATTATGATTACTCAACGAACCTGTTTAAAATTGTAATTTAGGGGTGGTAACCACATTGGTGGCGTGTAACTTCTCTGTGGACTTCCCAACAAAGAACTAAATAGACTCTGAAAAAATACTGGTGGAATTATAGGGGTACTATAGTACGGACGTTTCCATTTACTCACTTCTTTTGCAAACCCTTGCTGGGCATTTACATTTACGTTAGCTGTTGCTTCAACAGCAGCCTTAGCTACTGGAGTTATTTCATTAGAAGCCTCATATTTGGTTTCTCCATAAACATTCTTGTGTACAGTTTTGACTTCTTCCACGGGAATTACAGAAACTTCAGTTTCTTTTACGACTGTGACTGGTACTTCAACAGATTTGTGGGCTGAAACTGAGAATCCAGCTGATCCTGAGGCGCCTGATTCGCCACCCTGTAATGATAAAAATATTCTTTAGTTTTCATGTCAATCGGAAAATATTGTACCATCATGCTATTTAACTGATCAAATTCTTTCTACCATAACTATTCATTTATAGAAGTGAACATGGCTACATACATAGTGTCACATTGCAAGCCTCATGCAAGATATTTTGCGACATAAAAGGAGGAGTGTAAAATGGAGTCCCAAAAATGTCAAAATGAACGTGCATTGTGAGTGCATGCACAGAACAAACTTGGTACTTTTACCTTATTCCAGTAAGTAACCACCCGTTAGTCTCACTTACGTCAGTTTTCGCTGCAGGTTATATGACTTTGTGATAAAAGGTCCTTGTTTTACCATTGCCAATTTCTTATTTTGGTTGCATTTTGTTTCGAATGATAACACATTTGTTGTTAGAAATTTATTTCCAAATTCAATGAGTATTATTAAATAATATCATGGTTATAGTCTGATAAAAGTTATTAATTAGTCTATCTCTAATAAAATCGTTAATTAATTACATTAATTTCATAATATCCATAAACGCTCGATAAGACTTTTTACCTAACTTACCTATCTCATTTGATACAGTTTGTATGGCCATAGGTAAATACTGAAATAGAAATAATATTTAATAGCTTAATCATATTTTAGTCTCTCTTATAGAACGTTTATGAAAGAAGGTTATACATAAAATTTTCCTCCACCAGTTAATATCTTTTCTGTTCTTTAAGTAGTTTTTTCATTTCTTTAATTCTACGTCTTTCTTCTTTTCTTCGTGCTTTTTCTGCTTTGTCACCTACCAGGACCGATGTCGCTGAATGGCCTCCTGATTGAGCTGTTGAATACCCTCCACCGACTGCTTTTCCTCCGGCCACTGCGCCTCCAAGACCAGCTGCGGCATTCACATTTCCTCCTGCAGTAGCACCGGCATATAATCCACCTGCATAACAAATTACTCTTTTATCACACAAATCGAATAGAACAGACCTCAAAACTAACAAAAATTTGTGTCATTCGACTAAACCAAATTATTGGTCTACAATTCACTGACATTCATAATAAATGCACCGCATTACAATTCCCAAATCATTTCTATTTCAATTGAACATTAGCACAGATCAGAAAACATTATCTCGTATTAATAGTAAATACTTAACAAAATTATTCGTTAATTAATGAACGGCTGGATGGACTCATTTATTCATATAAATGAATATTCATTTCATTTCATTTACTGGTTGAGCAAACGTGCCGTATGCAATCACGTCTGTATGTTTTGTTCATCCATTTTTCAAATGGCATCTAATTGCAATCTAAGTTCAAAGGTCGAGGTGTTAAAACGTAATTAATAGTTACTGCAATCATTGCGCTAAGTCGCGTCGAGCAAGATAAAACGACGTCATATGTAATCAATTCTGGAATATCTCCAGACGCATTATTAATCTTAACTTGTTATTAAAATGCTCTATGCTCATGTTAGAACAAAAAGCTTTAAGATTTTCATTTATCTAGACATCGTCATTATCTTTTTGCATACGAATCCATTTTAGGGTTTTAATAATCTTATTTATGACGCTGTTATCATTTGTTAGACTCGAAAGTTTATCCAGTCGCTGCTTTAAGATAATGCGAACACATTTATATGAAAATCTTTATGGTCTCTAGCGAAATTAATTCAAATAAAGATATGTGATCTGATACATTTTTGCTTTAACCTTATTACTAAAGTAAGTGATTATAAAATGTCTTACCAGCCGTGCCACTGCTGCCATCGACGGCTCCACCTAATCCAGCCTTAGCCGCTGGTCCAAAAGGAGTTCCAGCTTCAGCATAGAGTCCACCAGCTGTGTTTCCTTTTCCACCAGCTAGAATAAAAAAATTGAAAAATTAATTGAAATAATCCTTTCTTTTATCCCCTTCAGTCTTTTCTTAGTTTGTAAAACGAATTAAAATGTACTTTATGTACTTCTTAATGAGATTAATATTATACAATAAAAAACAAAAAGTAGTCGGACTCTATAGGTACACTAATCATTCCCTACCCCCAAAGGATAAATGCATGACTTTATGTATGTAAAAATGTGAAATAAAAAGCCTAAAGGATAAATATAATCTTACACCGATAAGAGCCTCAGTAAACATTCTCCTAAGTACAAAATTAATGTTAGCAATTTGTATTTGCAAACAAAAATAGAATAATATTAATGATACAGATTCTTCAGTCCGTTTTGATCTTCGGATTTAGGATAAGATAGGAAACTGACAAATGTAGAATTAAAATATATCGCCTTTTGATTCGATGAAAAAAATGTTTCGGTTCAACTCTGGCTAAAAATAAGAAGCACTTCAGTAAGAATAATATGATTTAGGAGCGTACGACTGTGGGTTTCGCAATGATAGACTGAAATCTCACTTGATTGTTACTTTTCTAGCACATAGTAGTAGCAAAGACATTGAAAAAAAGGAGGACAAAGTCTCTTGAAACAACGACTGTGACACCTGGTTACTATAGACTTACACACAGAACATACACACATAGACACGAAGGACATCTGTCTTTTTCTTAAGTCTGGTAACGTAGTAACCCATTACACACGCACACATAAAAATCCAATATTTTTGTGCTTCAATCATGATTGTCTAAGTGACATTATGTTATTTTTTTTTAAATGTCCTTGATTAGTATTAAAAGTTTTACACGAATGGTTAATGCCACTGGAATCTTACTAGATTTTAATAACATGTTTGATACGAGAATCGTATAAATATTAGAACTCTCAATAACCACATGAAAACAAAACCGAGGTACCTATAGTTGAATTAGACCATAAACAGTTTTAGTATAAAGCTGAATTACAATGATGGTTGAAGTTGCACAAAGAACAACTAATTAACTTTCAAAGACAAGTAATAAGTAGTAGTAGTAATAAGTTGAGTACAACTTATTACGTCTCTTGTGAATGAAATGAGTAAACAGGAACACATTATATTATCTACTCTAAGTGCTCACTTATACACGTTGGAAAAGGTCAGGAAAATCAAGATATAAATAATCTAGTGTCTATAAATAAACAGGTACTTATTTTAGATACATTGCACGTACTTACTAAGTTTATATTAAAAGTTTCGTGTGACATAGGCACTCTTTGTTGGTGGTAAATATATGGCCTCTGCCTTAAAAAGGGTAACAGTAGCAGCGCGATAGTCACCGCGTCGCTGGTCGCGGAATACTGCGCATTAATATGAGCCTCTAGGACGGCTTGAAACTAGTTGAGTTACTCGTCAAACAGTTACTAACGTAACTAAACTAATTAAATAGTTTTGACGAGCCTTTGTTTCAAAATTATTTTCGATTCTACGATTTTCATTATTTTACTACCAAATAATATTAAAATCAACGTTTTGGATTTTTTTTTGGCTTTTTATTAGAATTTTGAAGAAATATTGCAATGGCTTTTTAACAAACATAAACCTATTTTATTATCCGATAGCAAAGATAACATTTTATTTTACTTGAATGAAAATACTATTAATTATATAAAATAAAGATATAGGACTTACCCAACCCTCCGAGGCCGACTCCAGCATGATATCCACCGAAATTGACCCCCAATTTACCCTCACTGAAGGTAATAAACTGCGGAGCCTGCAAAGACAGAAACATTAAAATTAATACAAATTCATTATAATAAACTTAAAACGAAATTGCTCATAATTTTACTAGGTAACTACTATTTTATGGCGTATTAACTGATTACAAGTTAATTTATTTTACTTTGTATAATTTAAATCAAATATTATTTCTATTATGATTATTTTACTGCACAATAATGTTTTACTGTAACATTTTGTGATATTATGATTTAACTGCACGCCTGATAATGACAGCTTTACTGTCAGACAATTTGTAGGTACTGTTATAATTATTTATTTGAGTAATCTTTATAAGTTGCTATCAGATCTGTCTGTGATATCCAGACATGTTATCTTTTTGTACTTGCAAAGAAGTGAAATCCTTAGTAAAGATATGTTTCAAATAAAAATTGTGAGCTAAACTGACATAAATAATTACGTACTTGAAGCACGCGATGTTTAATTTGTCCTTATTTTTTGTTATTTTATCGCCATGGCAACCATTGTAGTTGATAGACTGGACGTATTCTCTCAAGCTATAAATAATACTAGCATAGGTACTATGGGATAGTTTTGTTCCGGTAAAACAAACGTTACAATGTTGCCTATCTATATTACAATGTACATTTGCATGGCTGTAACAATTGAAGATTGCGCAAAATCTTTGCTAAGTAAGAATCAAGATCTAAGACTAGAATATTATTTGACATATTTTCGTTTATTTAATACCTACTAACCAAATTACCTCGTTGGTTGAGTGGTTGCAAGTGCTGGCCAAGGAGTCTCGGGTTCGATTCCCAGATCGGGCAAAGTATAAGTGGGTTTTTAAAAAAATCTGAGTAGTAGCACGGAGTTTGGAATATTGTGCCCGATATATGGCAATAGGCTTACCTCCTATTACAAGTAAGCATTACATTGTACAGTGGCATTAAGTGCCGTAATGTGCACCTCTGCCTACCACAAAATGCGTGATCTTATGTTATGTTATGTAATACTCAATCAATATCACTTCTAATTAGTTACATGAAAAGTAATGTCACGAAACAACTCGTTACCTGTCTACATAGTAAAACCACGTTAAAAGCACTTTGACCTTAAAATATTGAATGTTAATTAACCAAACCCATGAAATAGATTCGGGAATTAAAAGGGATTGTGACCAATTACGAGGTGCACGAGTAGCATTATAGATAATTACTGAAACTTAATTGCAAACAGTAATAAAACGAATCCTTTTCACATAATGAATTACAATTAGCTTCAGTAGACACATTTATGGCAGATATTTAAACAAAATTTGACTCAAGAGAGTACTAAATTGAAAATTTTATAGAGGATGGCCAATAAATTGTGTTTTAAGCGATCCCTTTAATAATTTATTGGTTTTATCACAAAAACGAGCTCATCCAACGTTTAGGCTGCGGTTTGTACAGTTAGGACGGTTTGTACCCAGGTTGAGTGGAAATCATTATTTATTACTGACAAAACATGGCATATCATCATGCCAGTTAAACTTTGAGTAGAGCTGGTCTTATAATACGCAGCTTTATCCATCTTTTTCTGCCAGTTTACTACCACACGTCGACCATATATCTGATGTTAGACATCCTATATCAAAACAATTCGACGAGCTAGGTACCTACGTCTTTTTTTTTTTTTTTTTTTTTTTAAGGGGGGAAAATCATCGAATGACTGCTCCCGCCTGGGTGAGGCGGAAGGGAGTGTCAGACTCTTACTGACTAAAAACCACCCCGTTCCTTCTCCTGCACGTCGAGCCGGAGCCCCGGTTACCCGTTAGGTTCTCCGCGACTCCGAATCGGCATCGGCCCTATTGGGCCCCATCTGTGGTGGTCTGATGGCTCTTTGAGGCGCGCGCGGAACGCGACGCGCCGTACGCTCGGGTCTGTTTCTGGTCGGACGGGGAGCCACCCATGCTCGCCGTCCGCAGGCCCGCGCTTACGGTGGCCGGAGATCGTCCCGCGATCCCCGACGCCCGGTGTGTCCTTCGCGATGGCTGGGTTGCGAGGAGGCAGCGCTTCGCTGCCTCGCGCGTCCCGCCTCCTCCTTAGCCAGCATGACTGCTTCGCAAAAGGAGGAGACGGCATCCCAGTCCCCCTCGCTCCGCATCATGGCCTGAACTAGGCCCGGACGCGAGAGGTCTCCATCGCCGATCACTTCCCTGAGGGCACGGCGGTGCTCAGCCCACGCAGGGCATTCCGCAACAGTGTGTTCCACCGTGTCCTCAGGGTGGTCCTCGCAGTGATGACACCCGGGCGTTTCCTCCCGCCCCATCAGACACAGGTACCTCCCGAAACTTCCATGTCCGGTGAGGACCTGCGTCAGGCGGTAGGTGAGGACGCCGTAGCGTCTCTCAAGCCACTCCTCAAAGAGGGGACTTACCGCTGCAATGGCAGCGAGCCCAGCCCTCGGTTGCGACAGTCGTTGCTGCCATTCCGCCATGAGATCGCGCCGGAGCTCATCCCGCCACGCACTTATCTGGCGCGGCAGCGGAGTTTCGCCCCGGCGACGTGCCTCCGCGCGCATGTTATACACGCGCGAGCACCTTCGCCTCCAGATCCCACGGCGGTAATCCGGCAAGGAGGTTCGCCGACTCCCCAGATCGTGCGGTATCCGCGGATCATTCGGATCGCCATGACCCTCTGTGCCATAAGCAGCGTCCGAGCGGGCCGCTGCAAGGTTCGGCGCCCAAACAGGGGCGCCGTAGAGGGCCATGGACCGCACGACCCCGGCGCGTATAACCTCCGGCAGGAGGCGTTTGGCCCCCCGAGGTTGGGGAGGATGCGCTTAAACGCAGCCCCCCCTCGCCAACTTTGGAGCCAAACGTCGGAATGCTCACGAAGTTCCATCGACTGTCGAGGACGAGTCCCAGGTACTTCATCGCCGTCTCGACGCCGATGGTAACCCCTCCCGCCATTATTTGAGACCCACCAGGAGGTGGCGCATTCCCGCGGCCATGAAAACACATGGCCTCGGACTTGTGGAGCGCCACCTCGAGTCCCAACTGCCGGATTCTCTCAACGACTGTCGCAACCGCTGTCGCCATTAAATCGGCCGCCGCCTGGTGCGACCTCCCGTGCGCTAGCACCAGCGTGTCGTCGGCGTAGCATATCATGCTAACGCCGTTCGGGAGGTCGGTGCGCAGCACCCAGTCATAACCGATGTTCCACAGGAGCGGCCCCAGAACCGAACCCTGTGGAACACCGCGTGACATCTCTCGCCGGTTCCACTCGCCCCGGTGACCGGGGTAGATGACGGACCTGTCCGTCAGGTATGCCTCGATTACACGACGGAGGTAGGTAGGCACCCGATGATATCGGAGTGCCTCCAAGATGCAGCTCCAGGGCAGGGAGTTGAAGGCGTTGGCGATGTCCAGAGACACCGCCACTACGACCTTACCCCTGGACACTGCAGTCCCCGTCGTCCGGTCCCTAACGCGCATGATGGCGTCCACCGTGGAGCGCCCTCTGCGGAAGCCGAACTGGCCGTCCGATAGGTCCGGCCCAATATCCGTCAGGTGCGCGACGAGGCGGTTCGAAATGATTCTTTCGAAGACTTTCCCCACCTCGTCGAGCAGCACTATGGGCCGGTACGCGGACGGAGAGTCCGCAGGGCGCCCCGTCTTCCGCACGAGGACCAGTTTTCCCGCTTTCCAGAGCAGCGGGAACTGGCCTCTCTCCAAGCATGCGCTGTAGAGACCGATTAATCGAGGCCTGAGAGCCTCTGAGGCCAGGACCCATGCTTTGCCATGCAAGCCGTCGGGTCCTGGGGCGGTGTTCTTGGCGCCCATCCGGCGCACCGCCGCTCTCAGTTCTGCCTCGGTCACCTCTGGGACGATGTCGTCGTCGTCGTCGCTATAGCCCGCGTCGGGCACCGCAGGGGGCGGAGTCATATACGGAGGGGTGAAGCCCCTCCACAGCCGGGGGAACAGGGCGCCAATTACCTCCTCAACGACCTCTGGCCGGAGACTCTGAGTGAGCGGGGGAGCCCAAGCGCGAAGCTTGTCGCGTACCATGCGGTACGGGCGTCCCCACGGGTCTCTATTCAGAGTCCCCAGCATCTCCCGGCGGGCCTCCTCCTTGGCCCGCAATATCTCCGCCTTGAGGACGGCTTTCGCCGCCCTGTATCCCTCATACAACTCCGCCTCTCTCGCCTCCGCATTTGGAGGACGGAGACGGCGCCTGCGGTGCCTAGTGTACTGGCGTCGCGCAGCAGTGCACGCCTTGCGTAAAGCTGCCAGCTCTTGCGACCACCAGTACACCTGGCGCTTTTGTTGCCTCGACCGGATCCGGGGCATCGCCACGTCACAGATCCTGGACATGGCGTCCTGGAGCCACTTGGCCTCATCGTCAATGTCGGCAGGCCTGACCGGTGGTATCACCCAGGCCTGCACGATGGCGGCTTCCAGGAGCAGCTCCCGGTCCAGCTGTTTCAGCGCCCAACGCGGGCCACATGGGGCCTGTCTGACCGGCGGATCCGCGGACTCGGCGGAGACGTTGAACCGGATATACCGGTGGTCGGAGTACGTCTCCACCTCCTCCATGACACGCCAGTCAACGATACGTGGTGACAGAGCAGGGCTGGCGAACGAAATGTCCACCACCGACTCGCCCTGCATCCGCACGCACGTAGGGACAGAACCCCGGTTCAAGACGACTAGGCCTGCCTCAAGGGCCCAGTCTTCCACCATCCTACCCCGGACGTCGGTGAACCGGGAACCCCAAGCCAAATTCTTGGCATTGAAGTCCCCGAGGACGAGCACGGGGAGGGAACGGAACCCGACGACGACTGTGACCAACTCCATCAAGGAGTTGTGGAACTCGGCGAGAGTTCGGTTCGGAGAGAAGTACACGCCCACCACAGCGAGCTCTCCGAACCGTGCTGCGACACAACCCCGGCCTCTTTGAGCTGCCTCAAGAGTCGGGGTACCGGCGGCGGCCGATGAGATGATGGTCACCGAGCCGTCCAGGTCCGCCACCCAGTGATCCCTGGGCG